CGCCCAACTTTGTGAAGTCCAGAAAGACTAGATACAAAGGTTTCTTTGCATCGCTGTATGCACCGGCCTTCACAAACAATTTTCATCACTAGGACACGAAAGGATAATGAAAGAATCAACCAAAACCACAAGAACAGGTAAGACACAACATTTATTTAAACTTTGCATTGACAAACTTCAAAGCCTGACCGTAGACTTAACGTTATTTTCCGGCCAATTTTACGCTCTCAAAGCGAAACTGAACATTCAGTTATATTTCAAATTTAAAAACCTCTAGAAAATTACTTGAGTTTTCCGTTTTGCAAAGCCAAAACGCGCCAAATTTACCCTGTTTCAAAAGACTTAGGAAAAAAATCCAAATTTTGAAAACAAAGACTGCTAGTCTCTGCGGAGTTCTATTGTTATCGCTATTGTTTTAATTGAACAAAGACTGAATGCACAATTAATGTATGGGGTTATATGGTACTCTTGCCGAATCTTGGTTTGAAAGAAAGATAAACGCCCTTCACTTTCCAAATCCATCGAAACACTGAAATAAATCAGACATTGATCATCTCAAGGAAAATCGCGGTGTTCAACGCATATTTTTGCAATATCCGTGCGGTTTATTACGTGTGAAGTGACAGGAACTATTGTTTCAATAATTATTACTTGGGTTCGTGCGAAATCATGTGGAACGAAACATGATTTACCCTACAGGCGAATGCTGCACAAGAGGCCGAGTGCCCGACTGGGCGACCGGAATATTTTTTCAGTCGCCTGGGACCAAACGTTAGTAGTCTAAAGCTACCGGGCGCCGCTAGAGCACAGCCTTGCCTACATATTTATTTCCGCGAAATTGCAAGTTTTTTTTTCTCTCCATTGAACGAGAATACCCAGAGTAGAGGTTCATTGGAGTCTTTTGGAAGTGTTTTCTTTTTTCTTTTACAAAAACGTAAACATCCTCCTATCAATTTATTTCCGCTAAATTGTAAGTTTTTTTCTCTCCATTGAACGAGATGTTCAGCGGAGTCTTTTGAAAGTATGTAAACGATTTTTCTTTGAGATTCTTCTTTACAGAAGAGCGTATAAGGCACAAAGAGTGTTACATTACAGTACATAATAAATGACGAATCAAAAATCAAGAATCATATCTCACAAATCCCTTAATTAATTCATTTCCCTGATAGAGCTGTCGCACCTGCTATCGACGAAAAAGAAGCTATTGTATATTTACCCTCCGCGAGGTTAAAGTCATTGGTCAGCAAGTACTCCTGACGTTGCCGCCTTTTCAAGTTGATCATAAGTTTGTTACCCATCTTCTCGGGGGAACATTACTGAGACGAATCGTAATCCATCAGTGTTGCACGTCCCTGAAAACAATTGGCCAGAGCAGCAACACCAACACTACCAATGTTATTATCAGACAATTTCAACGTTGTCAGCGTTGTGTTATCTCTTAAACAATCAGCAAGAGCAGCGGCACCTGCGTCAGCTATGTTATTTCTAGACAAATCCAACTTTTCCAGAGATGCGTTTCCTTTCAAATACTGAGCTAGAGCAACAGCGCCATCATCACTAATCCCATTAGAAGACAAGCACAACTTTGTCAGGGATTTATTATCTCTTAGACACTCAGCCAGTGCACGAGCACCAGCATCCCCAATATTATTTCCAGACAAATCCAAACGTTTCAGAGAATTGTTGCGGCCCAAACTTTCAGCCAGAGCAGCAATCCCAGCATCACCTAAGTAACAATATTAAAATTAATCTGTCACAGTTGTATTTGATTTGGGAATACGGTAGACCTTCGCATGCGTCCTTCGCCAATTTTTTTTAACACCCCATTTGATGCATAACCTCCATAAACTATATATCAATGGAGAAATTTTTCAATGTAACATTACGCAAAATTATTATGTTTTAGCTTGATCTAGTCGTAAGCCGAATGGGGCGCGACAATCCGAAATGGACGATGTTAATCTGAGCAAACTGTTCGCATATCAAATCTGACCGTACAAAGATAGCGATTTTTCTGTCAAGTTTGCTGATACAAATTTTACCGATACGCATTACGCCTTCGAAGGCCATTGCGGTTTTCTAGGTTGGCATCTTCGGAGTCTTCGGACCGAATTCCAAGGGAATCCGTAAAGTTCACAAACCCCATTAATTCGTTCAAAAAGGACACATTCGCGTAAAAACGACGTAGGTTTCTTTTTCTTCCAGAGTTTTCCCAACAATTCACGCCTTTGGGTGACCACATGTTCATAAGTTATGTCAACACTCTGAAAAACTCGAAATGCCGACCGCCAATAGAAACACAGGAGCCTCCTACAAAATCTCGGGCCGAACTCTCAACAAAAACAGATGCCACAGGCTCCAGGTGTGAGATCACCATCTTGCCAAGCGTCATGGCGAAATTATAAATATGCGTTAGATCAAGATGGCTGGATATTGGCCAAGTTTTTTTTTTTTTGCATTTTTATGGACCGAGACGAAGTCGAGGTCCGTAAAAATGAAACAAAAGAACGATGTGATAAGAGTTTTTATTACATCGCTTACGGCGCCTGAGGGCAAGATGAAGCGAATGCTGTGTTCTGATTGGCCACCCAAGCGGGCATGATGGGCCCATCTTGCCCGGCCGGGATTGCCCGCATCGATCCCAAGCATGAAAAAAAATTGAATTAGGACTACGTTCGTAATTCTTGTACAATGTTGGCGATGGAAACGCAAAAAGCGGTAGAAGATAGATAGTTAAACAAAGAAAACAAAAACGACTCTCGTGAGTTTGTTGTGCTACAAACACTGTTGGCTTCCTTTCCCGGCTCTCGAAGTACAGAAGTCACTCTCAATTCTTAAGAATGCGAAATTTTTTTGCAATATGGTAAATCCTTTATCAACCAATCTTGTTCGGTCAGAATGGCTGGATATTAGCCTGTTCTTTTTTATCTGTGAAATGTTCAGCAGGCAACCGTGGACGATAATCCTACTCTTGAACGTTGGATCAGCGATGATCTGATCGGCCCAAAGTAACGAATTTGAAATATAAATATAGAGACAAGACCGATACAACGTAGATAAGTAAATTTTAAGACGGAGCACTATATTTCGGCTGGCCAAACCAGCCTTCTTCAGGTGCAGTGGAAATTCACAGAGAATTGGGGTGATGCTTCATAGATAGCTGTATGATGTAACAGCGGAAATATGTAAAACTAATTTGATTGACAATGAGATAACAATAAAAATAGAAATAGTGAGAAAAAATAGAAATGAAGTAAGGTAAATTGGATAAATAACTAAAAGTAAGAATAGTAGAAGGAAAAAAAAACNAGTTAGGTTTATCAGTGGTACGGCGGTGTTCATTAAAACGGTCTTTTAAACGTCGTTTAGTTTCTCCTATGTATTGTAAGTTACAGCGGTTACACTGAATTAAGTAGATAAGGTTTTTAGTGTCACAGGTCAAGTGAGATTTAATGGGACGTGTTTCGCCGGTAGAAAAAAAGGTATAGCTAGTAAGACCGTCAGAGATGTAGGGGCAAGTAGCGCAGTTTCTACCACAACGGAAAGAGCCGGGGGGGAGTTGAGGATGGGAAGTGGTAGAATTAGAGGGGAGTTTGGCTGTTACTAATGTGTCGCGAAGGTTGGGGGAGCGTTTGAAGGCAACAACTGGCAGCTGAGGAAAAGCTTTTTTGCAGCGGTTAGAAGACTGCAGTAGATGCCAGTGTTTTTTGATGACGTTAGAGATGTGAGGAAGCGACGGATTAAAAGTAGTTATAAATGGAATACGGTTAGGTTTTTTTACGTCTTTAGTTTGTAAGGTGAGTGTGCGGGAGACGCGCCGCTGACATCTCCACAGCTATCTATGAAGCATCACCCCAATTCTCTGTAAATTCCCACTGCACCTGAAGAAGGCTGGTTTGGCCAGCCGAAATATAGTGCTCCATCTTAAAATTTACTTATCTACGTTGTATCGGTTTTGCCTCTATATTTATATTTCATATTCTTTTTTATCGCATTTCATTTTCTTGGACCTCGACTTGGTCTCGCAATAAAAAGAACTCTCCCAATACCCAGCCATCTTGACTTCACGCTTGGTTAATAACGCATATCTATGGGAATGTTTACGACCGCTCCTTGGAATAAAAAAATACAGTCAACTTCTCAGTAACCAGTAAAAGTACCGCAAATTACTTCCACAGCGCATGGCTTGTTATCTGACCGCTACCCTGTTGAAAAGAAGCCTTTTTTTAGTGCGTTATCCATTTCTAAGCTTCCTACTCTTAAGAGAAGGACTTAGGAGAAGGAAACCTAGTAACAGAGAAATCGTTAAAATGGCTTCTTTTTAACACAGTAAACCGCCAGAAAACAACCAATGCTTTGTGGAAGTAAGGTGAGGTATTTTTTATTGAGAATTTGACTGTATTTTTTATTCCTTAGAGCGGTCGTAAATATTCTCATACAAACTCTTATAATTTCGTCATGGCGCTTGCGTAAGATGATCATCTCACAGCTGGAGCTTGGGATACCCGTGGTCTATCTTTCAAGTGCGAGAACTTTTTTGTATTTTTTAGTGTCGATAAGATAAAAAATTTTCAAACTTTTCAGCGCATGATTAATTACCCTTTTGCATTTTTAAAATACCGCTTTTTGGGTCTTTTACAGTGCAATGAAGGCACGACTTCATAAGTGTTATTGTAGGGCTGTCACATAAAACCCTTGTTAACTTAAGCCTTAACTTAATTACTTGCTATACGTTAACGACGGAACTAACCTGGCCTGTTTGTTTCGTCTTGTTGCGTGGTCAGAAAGTCTACCTTTTCACTCACTTTTCCGAATTCTTTCCTCAGCTGTTTTATGTCACCTCTAATGTTTTCTAAGATAGAAGAGTTGCGCAAGAAATCATCTTTGAGCTTATCACCTAATCTACAATCTTCGTGTTGAATTAAAATAAACAAAAACCCTCAATATAATGAAATTTAGCGCTCCTACTATAATCACGTCAAGCGAGGTAATAATGGGGAGATGTCGGTTAATGACGCAATCCTCGACCAATCAGAGTGTGCGCATCTCGATAAGCACTGGATATTACGCAGGAAGTTCTAAACGTGAAAGAAGAAAATTAAATTCCAAAGAGCACAAAAGATGCTACTAAGTTTGGGGTAACAATTTATAAAAGAAAGGTGTAAATTTTTTTTCGTTACGAATAAAATAAACCTGTTAAATTCTAGGTTCTTTTGCATCCTACGATCTCATTTATACATCGTATCGATTGCTACGAAGGACAGAACAACATGAACGAAACCATTAACGTGTTCTTTCGGACCAACAAAAAACTATATGTCGCGCTTAAGAGTTTTTTTCTTTCAAAGTCAAGCCTAAAAAAAAAAAAAAAACCAAAAAAAAATCATAGTTTGGATCATTCAGTGCGGCCATCCTGCAGCTCCGCATTTTTGCCCTGTTCTATCTTTTGCACGTTCTTGTGACCTTATCTGGTAAAATGGTGTAATAGTGGAATCATAATTATATCTTACTAAAATTTTCGGCGTGTTGTATTGCTCACTACCTTTATGAGTTGTGCCATATTTTGACTAGTCCGTAATACAAACAACGATTTAAAATACTAGGCAATACTTCACCCCAAAACTACTTGGTGAGAGATTTAATGTCCAACTGCTTTTCTTTCCTGCCAAGTGTTTCTGCTCTTTCTCATAAGCCAGGGAAGCAAAGCGGATAGGGAGGCGTGGCGTGTCGTGCCGTGCCGACCGATTAAACAGGTTCTTTATAGCACTAAATAACCAACTGTATTCCGTTATGCACCTGGTGATGTCCGACTTTTGACTTGTAAATTTTGACTAATAAATTTCACTTCGTGCCTTAAATTTTCTTGAATTAGTTTTGTGGTCAGTTTTCAACGAAATCCTCACGTCTTGCTTTGAACAAGTTGCTTTTGACGCGATCGAGATTTTTTGGTAAGTTAAAATTTACAATTCAAATTAACCTTTGCAATTCAAATTCGAAAATCACAACAGCATCATTCACCACAACAAAAGCTTGGAAAGAATTTACTTTTAGCGGGAAAAAGTCGAGGAATATTATATTCGAAAATATGCATGTATGAAAGTAGTTGCTAAGAAAAACACTTGTTTCGGAAATCGTTGTAATTAAAAAGATAGGTTTCGAAATCAAAACTGAAATATAGTTTCCATGAAACTATTGACCCAAATAACATGCCATAGAAACTCGGCCGGGGAAATCAGAGATTTCCAACTTGGCTACTCGCCTGATTGAGATCATTTGCCTACTTTCAGGGAAAATAATACTACTCATTGCGTTTTCAAAGATATGACACCTCTTTCCCCCCCGACAAACAAAGAAGAAAATAAAATAAAATTTAAATTAAAAAAAAAGTAAATTCTGTTCTTTCATGACGTTAAAAGGACTTAAAATAAGAAAGTGTATCAAACATCACCACACGGCTGGTATTTGATTTTTTCTTGAAAGGAGATATGTCAGAACAAGAACTGCATACTACTGTACGCATTGCCTTTTAATTTCTATCTTTGTTAAACTAATAATGGATATAACATGTACCTTGCATCTCCCTCATATCTTCTTTTAGCTGCTGCCTGTAGTGTTCTTCTTTATCAGGGTCTAGGGACTCAATCTTAAGCTTCCCGATGGCGGCTCCATAATCTGCTCCTCCTAGTCCTACTATGGCATTGCTGATATCCTGCCAGTAGCTGTTGAATTTTGCATCATCTACAGAGGCTTGGCTGGCATGGCCGTATACAGTATTACGGTAATACTTAAGCCTGGCTATGTTGGCCTCTTTACTCATATCTGCAGCTGGGGGAAGATTGTCCCATCCAGTGTTGGGAGGAACCAGACCACAAATATTCCTCAGTAGCACCATCAGTAGCGTTATATCAAAGTCTGCCGATGAAACAGGTGATGAAGTAGCTGGATACAGCTTCCCCCATTGAGTAGGATTCAGGATTCCCTTTTTCCGAAGAGACTGTAAGTCTGCATGCTCAGGGTTCCGATTTAAAACTGTATGGAGTTCTTCTGGAGAGTGTATGGCATCAAAAGTGTATCTCAGGACCTGAGTTCCAACATCTACCAGAAGGCGACACAGACGGGCATAGTTGATTGTCTCTTTGGTGGATGGGAATGATGGCGCAGAAGCTGATGATGCCATATGCTGTAGTAAAGATTAAATTGTCAACAAGTAGTAAGATTTTCTCCGAAAAAAAAAGTTACTGAACAATTTTTCCCAGACTTTAAAATTTAACTCGCCCTGAGGGCTCGTGCGCTCAGTCCCCTGATTGCGTGATTCTTATGCTCAGTACAGGATGTGCGAACGTACAGATTAAAAGAAAGTTGTTGAAATTTAAACTGAAATAAAGTTTGCACTGTACGTTTGCCGCTGATAGCGCACCGTAAGTTTCTACCCTCGTAAATGAGGATTTTAACGTCTTAAGTCAAGAGTAACTTTCTGTGAACCATCATTAACTTACAAACAGTTCTTAGGCCGCATGTCAACCCACAAAACTACCACGAAATTCATCTCGGAACCACTCTTTTTTTTTTTTTTTTTTGCAGGAAACTAAAGTGTTTTTAGGGAGAGCAAAAAGAAAATTAGAATCTGTCTACAAGAAGACTTGGAAAGCGTGACGCACCGATTCCTTTCGATTCTTCACAGACTGTTAGCTAAAAAATGTTCTCTAAGAATACAAACTAGTTTCAGCACCCAATGAATTCCAGGGCTATCATAGCCCTCACATCAAACCCAAGGGATAAAACCCCAAACTTGCTTGAATACTGCACTACCAGAAAATCTCTCTCAAACCGGCTCACAGAATGAGATGGTTTTTGTCTTTGTTGGTCGATATGCTACTAGAGCACCAAGCACCCATGGCCCCAAAGTTAAGAAAATATGTCACCAAAAATCAGACAAATTCATAAATCACCGGCAACAGGCAAAATATCGAATTGGCTCATATTCTAGAATTAGATAGGCCTATAGGTAAAACAAACCAAGACATATATAGGAAAAGTCTGTTTACGAGCCAGTGGCCTATCAGGCCGGTGGTTAACTCCGGTTTCTGTAGCATGAAGCGACTAGGAGTATTTCTACTCCCCCCTGGATAGGATGCTGGTCCATCGCAGGGTTACCCCCCAGCATTAAATTTGCCAGTACCCCTTTAAACACCTGGGTGAAGAGAGGCGCTTTGAGAGTAAATTGTCTTGCCTGAGAACACAATGCAATGTCCCCAGTCAGGGCTCGAACCCAGACCACTCGATCCGGAGTCGAGTACACCAACCATGAGGCCACCGCGCCTCCACAAGACTTATAGAGTTTGTTGAAAAATTCTTTTGTTTTCGAGAAAATTGATAAAACTCAATTTACGCATAATTAGCGTCGTTCGAAGGTCGAATTTAGCCCATTTTTGGAGGCGTCGTTTGTACTTGTAAAAGCATTGAAAAACTTACTTATTCCACAGACTTTTCAAACAATGTCTCCCCTATGTTTTCACCAAAAAGTACAATCACTATTTAAATTTGAAATAAAATACAGACTTTTCTATCTAATTACATAAGTGCCGTGTGAAAAGAAGGGTAGCTTAAAATTATTTTTATATGTGCAAAGTGAAATAAATGCTTAATATTTGAGATACGAGAAGTAGACACGAGAAACTTATCGTTTGTAGAGTTGTTTTTCTGGGGTTTTTGTGCTGCTATGCATACGAGGGCTTTAAATTCATAGAAATTTCGCTCTTCGGCGAAGTCAGCGACATAAAAGTAGAAACTGGCTTTGTTTATCATTTGCAGTCAGTGGTAATAGTGAGTGCTTGAAAGGCCCGATTTATACTAGAGACGGATCATCTGTCTAGGACGAGCTTGGGCAAGGAACGGTAGCTCGTCTGATAATCCGTCTGTGTATAAACACGGGCAACCAGTCGGATCATCTATCCAGACGAGGTATCGCGATAGTCTGTCTTGTCAGACGAATTCTCTTGGATAACACGTCAAGACAGATGATCCGTCGCTGTGTACAAATGCTGGAAGAAGACGAACTATCCACGAAAACTACAACTCGTTACAAGAAGCCAGCGGTTGTTTTCAATTAACTATCAATTCAAGATGGCGGACAAGTCAAATGATGGTTCGTACAAACCCAGAAAGTCAAAGAACGTCAAAGAACGTGTATGGACGAATACAGAAATGAAATACCTTCGCGAGTTGTGTCATTGCCGCCATTTTGAAATTTGCCGCCAATGCCGCACTAAAACATTTGACTAGGCCCCAAGCCTTTTCGTTGTGCATGCTTTCTCAGAAATCTGTTCAGAAAACTTGTCCAGTATAAAACACGGGACGAGTCACACGACACACCGATAGTTCGTCTCATAGTCCTTCACGTATTTATACTAGACGGATGATCCTTCTCGACGGATGATCCGTCTCTAATATAAATCGGACTAATGATGTAAATGACGTCTTCAAAGTACTTGCAACACGATAGAAGTTGTTTTTGTTTTCTCCGAAAGCATTCGTTTTGTAGAGATGAGTAGACATGATTGTCACTGCGTGACTAATGTGTCACGCAATTGTTCGATCTATATTCCTATTAAGCAAGTAGTATTTTAGAAGTATTTTATTTTAAATTTAAATAGTGATTGTACTCTTTTGTGAAAACATAGGGAAGACATTGTTCTAAAAGCCTGTGGAATAAGTAAGTTTTTCAATGCTTTTACAAGTACAAACGACGCCTCCAAAAATGGGCTAATTTCGACCTTCGAATGACGCTAATTATGCGTAAATTGAGTTTTATCAATTTTCTCGAAAACAAAAGAATTTGTCAACAAACTATTTATGTGTTGGTTTGTTTTACCTATAGGCCTACCTAGAATATGAGCCAATTCGATTTTTTGACTGTTGCCGGTAAATGTTTGATTTTTCGTGACAACCTCTCTTAAAATTAACCATGGCACACAACATTTTATTGAGGTTGCAAATCGTGGAATTTTAATGGCGAATATCTCAAACAGGCAACATTGAATGTTGACGAACACATAATCACAGTGGAAACCCATTATAGTAATATGTATCTGATAAAAAAAAAAAAAAAAAAAACTGGCGTTGGCAAACAATTTCTAATCACACTGTTATAAGGTGTGTGACTAGCAACATTAATCTATGCAAACTGTGACCACAAAGTTGCCTTTAACTATCGCGACGCTACTTTCTTTTCATGCAGCTTTGTATCAGAAAATTTTAGTCAAATCTCATGTAAATTCTACAGTATTGACACCTAAGTGAAACGGCAATTATACTTATTTAATAAAACTAATTCAAGTTTCTAAGACAAACATCCAGACCAGACTATGCCAGGTAGATTTTGATACTTTTTTTCACTTTAGATACTAATAAAAAGTGTTAGAATTTAGACAAGAACCGAAAAATTATTGCGTCACAGGGGTAACAGATATATCAGGTACATGTATATACACATTGCATGACACTTCCTCCGGTTACACGTAATAATATTAACAAATAATATTAATATTAATAATTAAAATAAATAATATTTAACAAATATTTAATATTAATATTAATAATTTTAATATTTCCGTAATATTTTGAGGAGACCTATGAGAAGGCACCTTTGTGTTCTAGGAGAATGTGACCTTGATCTGCCCAAGATCTGCCCATTGATCTGCCTTTGAGAAAATCTTAAATTATCAAGCCCCATTAAGAATCACTTTCACCTCAAAAATTTAAACAAATATCCAAACCAAGGATAACGCAAGGTATAAGAGATTGAATTAAAAAAAGAAAAAAAACAAACAGTTTGTAAGCAAAGTCAGTATTTCCTGTACCAAAACAGATTTAACTTTAAACCTCGAATAAGTATCTTCGACAATGGTACAAAGGGGCAAGTCACAATAGAATGCAATGATTAAGTTAAGTACCTTAACTGTGTGTATTTTCCACTTCTTTTACTGATTATCCTGGCCCACCTCGATTAGCACTGCTATCTGCGGAGCCAGGGAAATAAGGATTTATTGTTATTGTAATTGTTAAATAAATGTGTTAAACGTGAAGTACTGATCAAAAACAATCTAAATTGAATCAAATAATATGATGAATTATGATGAAAATGCTGGCATATCCATGTTTTGCTGTTTCAAGTCTTAAATTGTTAATGAAACCAATGTGGAAAACCTAAATACCTTATTATGAGTAATAAGCTGGAAAATGAAAATTGATGATCCATAAATTTAACAGCTGGCAGCATGTATGTGAAAAGGCCATTTCATCCTCCCGTAAACCCAAGGATTGTACAATCAGATTTCTATGAAGCAGATGAAAACATCTACTGTATTTAATTACCTATCAGCCAATCTCTGCTATAAGCCAAGACCCCAAACTCTAAGCTTTCAGAAGCTGTTGGATTCTAATTAACAATTATTTCATGAGCGCGTGTTGGATATGAGATGATAGATAGCCAACGAGGCGCGTAGCGCTGAGTTGGCTATAATCATCTCATATACACCAAGCGAGAGTGGAATAATTGTTTTATTAAAAAAAAAGCTCCCCCAAGATGTTAGACAAATCTTCTCAACTTTATTTTGTAAGAAGAAACCGGATGTTACAATTATAATTATTAGATTATGGTATATTGGCTCATATACCATAATGGCTAAGCCAATAAAAAGTCTTGAATTGCATTATCCAATGATCCAGTTTTTAATAATGAAAAATATACCATGAACATAAGCTATAAGCCAAGACCAAAACTTTTATTGAAATATTTTGAAGCAGTCTAAGTGCATTGTTGAATGAGACAAATAATCAATGGTAAATCATAATCAAACAAAAGTTAGAATCTTCACTCTTGGAAAAAACTCACACCCAAGCAGTTATTCACTATACTCGAAGTATCTTGTATTTAATCAAACATTTCTGGAGTGATATTTGAGAAGAGAAGTCAGGATCAGTTCTATGAAGCGAAGCTCCAGCTGATTTCTCTCAGATCATCTTACTTAGCCATGGCGATGGCCACTTCTGATTGGCCAGTTTCAGATGTTGCCTAATCAAGTCATTGACCCTATCACTCTAATTATCATTACTCTGGAGAGCTAGCAAGACAGATTCAAACTTATATCAAATTTGACCACCTCCCAGTTAGCTCAATGAATAGAGCGCTGCACTGTTGTGTGGGAGGTCGAGGGTTCGAGCCCTGGCCGGACCAACACTCAAGGTCTTAAAACAAGTGAGAAGAATATGTAACCTTTCTATAGCATCAAGAAATGGTTAGATATTCTAGTCTTCTCGGGTAGGGACGAATAAATGGAGGTCCTGTCTCCTGCAGGGTTAGGGGTAGGAGACGTTGATTTCCCACGCACGAGACTACTGTGTGATGGATGTCCTCCCCTGGGGTAGTTGCTGGGTGGGAATTCACCCTGAAAAGCCCCTATGGGGAGTGGTCAACTAATATATGTATACATTGTATATATGTATACATTGTATACATGTATACGTACGCACTTGTCCATTTGTATTAAAAATCTAACTTGGTCACTACACTTAGTTCTTCCATTTTCAATACTACCAACTTGTGCGTAAATACAATTATACTATATGCAAAGATGACAACTTTATCTCTATATGCCTGTTTTGTGGCTGCCCACTCATCAGGAGATTTAATGAGAATAATCTTTACCATCGCTTATATACAATAGAATATGATCTAATTTATGGAGTACGAAATTTAACAGTTTAGTTGTTGCGTAGGAGGGCTTTGTCTCTGTAGCAGCAGGAAGACACGAGTTCATTACATTTGTTTACTGTTGATAGTCCAGGTTGGCAGATGATAGGAATTTTTCTTTGAGGCAGAGGTTACATCTTTTACTTGAGCTGCTGTATGGTGAGTGTGATGAGACAATGCACCAGGATATAAAGTGTTAGATGTTGAGACATCAGTCACTTTAATCTTTACAACACAAGTTTTGCTGCAAGACTACTGAGAGCAAGTTGGCCATAGATATTCTTTGACTATTGTTATTGTTGCTTACAAAGTGTAACATACATAGGGGACCTTGTATTTTACATGAGCATATTCAACAAGTCGGTCCAATAAAGACCATTGCAAGCTGAGGTGAACAACTGATTAGTAATCAACGACCATCTATGTTATTTTGATTCATCAGTTGTCATTCCGTGCAATTGACGATCAATAATCACAAAAACTTCTACAATCGATTGCCCATTGATTACCACTATCAACTGATTAATTGACATCGATTGCCATCAATCACTTATTTCATAAATTGTTCAGGCCTCGTTCCAAGAGTTTCTGAAATATAACTTCTTCTTCTGAAGATATTCATAAGTAATGCTTTCATACCAGAAGAATTTGCTTTCTTTTTGAAAAAGTAGCTATCAAATTATTCTTGCAAAAGGAATTTTGGTTCTTAATAAAAGAAAACTGCAAATAGGGGAATTACAATCTCGAGTGTTAAGGTCTACCCTATCCTTATATCAAAACTGCTCTCATCTTGAAACAGCTAGCATTTGTTAGAATTACAATGAACCACCATATTGGTCAAGAGTATTCAGTAAATTTACCGTAGCATGTGAAGTTGACATGATAACCCAATAATCATAAAGAGTTCTACCCAATTTCAAGCCCTTTGTCCGATAACTTTTGCAAAAATTGGCTTGTTGCTTCACTACTGTTTCCGCAGAGGAATTGAAAGTTTTGATTGAGAACAAAGGTTCCAAAACCACAAAGAGAACAAGAAAAACAAGTGCAAAAAGTTCTGAAAGATTATTTGAGGATGAGAAATCTGGAGGAACCATAAGATAAAACTACTTTAGCTAATGTTCTGAGGAAGGTTTACACCGGCACTAGAAAAAGTGATTGCAGCCCATACTCGAAAAGTTTAATGACGACAAGAGTACCATATAACCCCATATGTTAATTATGCATTCAGACTAATAGACATTGTTTTTAAACTCTTGTCGTGAAAGACAAAGAAGTGGAATGCATAATTAATGCTGGGGTTATATGATATTCTTTCCTATCATGACTTCTTTACCATTTAAACTCAATAGGCATTTGAAGACAAAAGGAATTGACATTATCAAACGTCCAGAATTTGCTGAGGCGAACAAAGTATTTCTAGCAAAGTGTGTTTATTAAAAACGGCTGAGTTTGAACACAACTCCTTTCAGGAAACAACCTTCGAATTTCGAGTTTGGAGTTTTTAACTTAGATGATCCCAGAACACTTATAGTTACCTGCAATGAGACGAGAAATCGCTCCGGTTGGATCGCTTAGAAGACTCCTACAATGCCATCTCCTTCTCCCATTTTGTACAAGACGTGTAGGTCAATGAATAATGTGTTTCCCCATTGCAAAATGACGGCCAAAGCGATTTCCGAAGAACCCTCGAGGAGCACTAGTGACGAGTTTCTGAGTCAGGCAATTATCGGAAATTGTCCGTTGAAGGCGAAGTGAATATCGCTGAATAACCCCCGAGACGAAGTCGAGGGAATTATTCGACAATATTCACTGAACCTCAGGCGAATAATTGTTTTAGTTTAAAGGGAAACAAGGAGTACCAAAAACAACCACATATACTTTTTTGTTAAGTCCCCCCCTTCTTTTTCTCTAAAAATTTTAAAACAAATCATTAGAAGGTTTTAAATAGGAGGGTTCTCTTGGTTAAGACTTGTAGCACAATCATGGTGCCCATTTGGGGCTGTTCAAATAAATATATCAAAATCTTGGTCAGCAAATGACGGATTGTTTCAAAACTTGCCCTTTTTGTGCTACAATGATTGTAGTTCAATAAAACATCACTATATTCTCATTTGAAATAATTTAAGAGTGGAAAGATATTGAAGATTACTGCAAATATACCCTTATTTTCGGTGTAACACATAACATCTCATTTGCATAAATGTAGGAAGAAGGCTAAATTTTGTGCTTAAAACCATAACAATTTGAAACTTCCATTACATCCATTTATTGAGTAAGACCAAAGTACACTGTGTGCAAAGTGACAGCATTTAATGTCCGTTTTTAAAACAACATGAATAAAAACTTGAATTCTCGTTGCAGCTAGTTGTCTGCTTGTGTAAGGCTGTAGATCCAAGAGAGCTTCGCATCATACAAGTGCGGGTCTGGCAACTTGACCGCCCACCTAGAAATGAAGTTGATTTCTGTGAGTAAGGTTCATAGACCTATTTATCCTCTTATAAAGCTATTTCTTCAAAATAAGCAACAGCAAGGACGAAATTAGTGATTTCCCAATTCGGAAACGATGTTGTCGTCAATAAGTATCAACAAAAATTAAATACTACTTACCCAGTTAACAGTGCATATCTCAGCTTCCAGGTCACCTTAGCTGCTTACACATCTCCACAACACAGTTCATGTAATCGAATACGAATCCCCAAAGTTTCAAAGCCTTATGTACAATACAAATGAAGACATACGAAATAAACCAAATCGGAAACCTATGTTCACTCTCGCCTGGTGTTTATCTAAGTGTAACGATCAAATTTCAAACTCGCTCTGCACAGAAAACTGCACAAGACGAAGCTCTCAAACCCCTAATTTTCCATTCAAATCGAGGTGTAAACTTCGAAGGGCTCCTTTCCAACCTCTCCTCTAAATGTGTGGGGTGTTTTGTGGACAATTCAGGGTCTAAAACATGTGCTGGATTGCTATGCCTACTTCAGTTCTTGCTATGCACCCGATTTCACAATCTTGAACAGAGCAGAAACAAAGGAGTTCTTCAAAGATGAATGGCAATAAGGAAAGCTCTTCAAGTGTTGGAAAGATGAAAAAGTGGAGTGAAAAAAAGACAGAGAAAAAGAAAGAAGCTGACAGAAAGTATTACGAATGAAATCGTTACGAAAAGAAAAAGTGCATTTGTTCTTGCCGGAACTGTGAGACATGTGTGGAGAACTAAAGAGAAAAAGAAATAACATTTACAAAGTCCCTATGGATGTCAATGAAAAAATTATTGCCTCTTTGTAAATCCAGATAGTGTTGAAATATATTTATATATTGCATTTTAGTCATTATAGCCAGTGAAATCAAGTGCGAGAGTCAAATGCCACGCCCACAGAGGATTGTGGGTATTTAATAACTTGGCTTTAAAAATCTTACAAACATCGCAAAACTCACTAAAAATGCTTTTATGATGATAACTAGCTTTTATCTAGCAAACAATAATATTTTTGGCACACTTGCTGCATTTTCATAAAAATGCCTTATGTTACACAAATGGGCACCATGATTGTGCTACAAGTCTAAGTGATCAGGTACCCGTAATATATGACATGAGCCACTAAGGCAAGAGCCTCTAAGGGGGTAGGGGGGTA